CGCTGACTGGAGAACCAGGAGTGAAGATGCCTGAATTGTACTTAACCTGGGCATGTCACTTAAGCCCTTCTGTGCTTCAGTTTCCCCATCTCTAAAGTAGGTACAATATTACTTCCCGATCTCACAGTACAAATAAGTTCTACTTAATTATTTGTAGATAGCTGTAAGACCCCTGAAACATCATTTCAGTGTTCACAAAGCACTCTGCTATAGGCAGCAGCATAACAAAAAAGTGGGACATGAGTTTTCTTTCTTCTAACATTGCTGGTGCAGCGAGATCACAATATAAAGGATGATTGAAACATTCCTGTCCTATTTCTTGAGGGAGAAGGGTTTTTCCCCAATCAGTGGTAGTTTTATAGCTTTCTGGGTCAAATACAATATGACCTTTACCTGCCTGAGAATCCTGTGTGTAGCTAGTTAGCTTTCCCCATGTCCATCGTCCTTGGCAGTCAGGTTTTTCTGCCATTTATTTTATCAGCCGGGAAGGCTTCTAGGGAAAAGTCATCTTAGAAATTATTACAAGGCTTAAGAAACCGTTCTGAAGAATCAGTGGATTGCTAACAAAGCACAACGTCAAGCTTTTGATCAAGAGGAGACATTTACCCGGAAATCCAAGTCACGCCATATTTCAGGAGGTCTGGGCTTTGCTGATAGTGTTGGGCATATACCTTGAATCAAAGATAGAAGATATAGCCCTCCTTCCCCCGACCCCCACAGCGCTTTACAAGTAATGAAGCCTCACAACAGCCCTGTGGGGTAGACATGTGTTACTACCTCCCATAAGTGTTTGGCCAAGGCCAAACAGTGGCAAAGATGGGACCAGAACCCAGAATTTGTGCATTTCAGTCTCCTGCTCAAACCACCAGACAGGCTCCCTTCCCTACTTGAGTGATGTACTGCTCAAATACAAAATTAACCTATGCATAGATATGTATTATACATATGCATACAGAACCCAAGCATGATGTCAAGTATCAGGGGGTAGCCATGTTAGTCTGTATCTACAAAAACAACAAGGAGTCTGGTGGCACCTTAAAGACTAACAGATTTATTTGGGCATAAGCTTTCGTGAGTAAAAAGTGAAGAAGAAGTGAGGTTTTTACTCACAAAAGCTTATGCCCAAATAAATCTATTAGTCTTTAAGGTGCCACCAGAACCAAAGCATGAGTTATCCATTCTTTTCATTTTAAGTATTTAGATAATTATATAATTTCATAATCATGGACTAACTCGTCTGATTAACAAGTGGGTTCAATTCAATTCTGCCACCTCTGCTCATGTTAAGTAGTTCATTACCATGCAACCAGGCCCAGCATGCATAGGGATAGGCATTCTGAGGCACTTTGAAGACGTCCTTGTGTTAATACAAATCGATATGTACAGTGGACCACCAAGTTAATGCTAGTTAAGGTTTATATAAAGTCAGGAAGAAAAGCATGGTTACAAAACTCTCCCAGATATTTCACCATGCGGCGTATAATTTACAGAGCTAGTCAAAATTTCTCTACTGAAACATTTTCCAGCTGAAAAATGGAGTTTCACCGAAAACAAAGTTTTTCACAGGAAAACATTGTTTTTGATTAAATTTTGTTAGTTTTCACTGGGGAAATGTCAAAATGAAATGAAAGGAAAAAGTTTTATTTTATATCAAATTGAAATTGTTTGGCTTGGTTTTTGAAAAAATATTTTCAAATTGGAAAATTGCAACCTTTTGATTTTTCCTTTCTCCCAACTTTACCACCACTGAATGCAACAGAATGAAGGAGGTTTAGTAAAAATCCCCAGGGGAAAAAAAAAAACTATTTCCTTTTTTGTGGTCCCCCGCCCTTTTCCCACTCTAACTTTTGAAAAGGTCTACAGTGTTGAAAAAGTTAGAAAAATTAAATGCTAACTTTGCTAATCGGCAACGTTTCAAAAGTTGAGTACGTTGTTAAAGGTTGCAGAGTGGCAGAGTTCCATTTCTCCCTTTTCTGCTTTGTAACTTCTCCAAAGTTAGATAAGTTTGGAAAAAATTAGAGTGGAAAATGAAAAATGAAAAAGTGTGTGTGGGGAGGACGGGACGGGGAGAGCTCCTAAATATCATTCTATTGGCTTCAGTGAAGAAAAGGAAGAGAAAGGGGAAAAAGTAAAAATGTCAAAATTCTTTTAGCATTCAAAAATTTGAGCTGAAATCAAAACTTCGTTTTGAAGTAGAAATTTCTTTTTTTTTTTTATTTCACATTTTCCCCATTAAACCTCAGAACATTTTAAACATGTTTTTTACAAGGATACAAATGGGGTGAGTGACCAACTCTAGTAATTTAAGTACTAAAATTATGCTCAGCAACCAGCCCCGTATCATGAATACGTTTAAAAGCCAAATTGTGAGCTACACCTTAAATAGGTCTTCATTTTATGCATATGCAAAGTTAAAAGTATAAAAAATATGGAGGCTAGTGTCTGAAAATGTATTCTTAAGAGTCTAAAACGATGTCAGTGCAAATGCGTGTGAGGTGTCTACTACAAAGGCTGCCCATTTCTCCCTAATAGTTCAACACCAATGGCCAATATTGTCACATGTCACTATTAGTTTGTCTCCATATTTGGGTACTCAGCTTGAGATACCTCAAAGGGACCTGACGCTCAGAAAATGCTGAGCATCGACCCTTTACATATCATGCCCTTTTAATGGCTAGTGTTATTTTGCACCAGGAGTAACCGAACAGAATTTGGCCCTGTGAATTTAACCTTTTCCTGTACTAAGTCAGTTAAGTGGCAGATACCTTAGATACAATAGCAGAGAAAGTTTTTTTAAACAACATTTTTAGAAATTAAAAACATGCCTGCACTTTATGGGGGGGGTGTTTTCCTGAGCAATCCAACACACCCCCTGAACATCTGTAGTGTTACCTTGGGTTTTGCTGAACCCAAATCTCTTGGTAACTTTACTCTTTGTAAGTAGGGTTGCCAGCTGTCTAATCACACAAACCCAAATACCCTTGCCCCGGCCCCTTCCCCACCCCCGCTCACTCCAGCCCCCCTCCCTCTGTCGCTCACTCTCCCCCCAACCTCACTCACTTTCACCGGGTTGGGGAAGAGGGTTGGAGCCAAGGGGTTCGGAGTGTGTGGGAGAGGGCTCCAGGCTGAGCCTGGGGCCGGGGGTTGGGGTGCAGGCTCCGGGAGGGAGTTTGGGTGTGGGAGGGTGCTCAGGGTTGAGGCAGGTGGCTCGGGGTGTGGGCTCTGGGAGGGAGTTCGAGTGTGGGAGGGTGCTCAGGGTTGGGGCAGGTGGCTCAGGGTGTGGGCTCTGGGAGGGAGTTCGAGTGTGGGAGGGTGCTCAGGGTTGGGGCAGGTGGCTCAGGGTGTGGGCTCTGGGAGGGACTCATGGGGGAGGA